TCTCCCAACTCTGGCATCCTCAATGGTTCGCACAGTTGAAGTATTAGGTCCCATTACTTTCTGGGGAAAACCTCCTCGAGTATTATAATTTCCCGTGTTACATTCTTCCTTCTTGTGACCAAATCTTCCGCAACCCGCGCATCGTAATTTATCTTGTTTTCCTGGACAATAAGGGGCTATATGACCAAATCTACCACATTCGAAACACTTTGCCTCCCTACAATCTCTGACCATATGTCCTTGTCTTCCACAATTATAACAATTCATTCTTCCCCTCACTCTCGAATCAAAACTGGGTCTTATTTCCCCTCCACGTCCCTGAGAATCCTCTCTAGGTCCCCTATAAGGTCCCAACCTTTTATCACTATATACCTCCCTCCCATCAGGCCTACTTATTAATTTATCCACTTCACTCTCTGTCCATCCATTAATTAATTCTTGAACCGGCAACCATGTTACCTTTCCCATAACATCCTCCTCTCCATTATGCCCCTCTATTGTTAATGTCTGGCCCTTTATTCTCACGCTACGACTCTTTTTGACTCTTCTACCCCAAATCAAACTACACATCCAAATCCCTAATATGAGTAGTGCTCCCACAATATTATATTGTAATTCCCAACATTTCATAAATTTAAAAGTTTTCATTTTCTCTCTACAAAAAGTTAACTAACACTTTTAATATACAGAGTTTAACAATTTGCAACGTTAATAAATAAAATACTATGAGAATTGTAAACAAACTAAAGATGCAGCTATACATATATCTTGTATGCCGTACAAAAATTTATTAATCCGGTTTTCCTTTTTTTTTAAAACCCCTTTTTTTTATGTTTCCTTATTAGTATAAATTCAGGTTTTCCTTCTTTTTTAAAACCTTTACAATGTTTCCTTATTCTTATAAATTCCGGTTTTCCTTTTTTTTTAAACCTTTTACTATGTTTCCTTATTTTTATAACTTCAGGTTTCCTTCTTTTTTAAACCGTTTACTATGTTTCCTTATTCTTATAATTTCAGGTTTCCTTCTTTTTTAAACCGTTTATTATGTTTCCTTATTCTTATAATTTCAGGTTTCCTTCTTTTTAAAACCGTTTATTATGTTTCCTTATTCTTATAATTTCAGGTTTCCTTCTTTTTTAAACCGTTTATTATGTTTCCTTATTCTTATAATTTCAGGTTTCCTTCTTTTTTAAACCGTTTATTATGTTTCCTTATTCTTATAATTTCAGGTTTCCTTCTTTTTTAAACCTTTTACTGTTTTCCTTTTTTAAAATAAACTTTTTCCCGTAAAATGTCGGGGTCACCACTATTTAAATCGTCTTAATTCTCCTATATTGAAATGGTTTTTTACTATTATCCTTTTTGTTTTATATATATATATAAATATATTTTGTTTTTTTTCTATTTTTACTTACGGTAGGTTTTTATTTCCTTTTATTTATTTTTTTTACGCAACATACATCAATTAAATTTTACAAAATAAAACATATCATCATTATTTTATTTCTTTTGCTTCCATTATATATTCACTTTCTACCCCATCATCGTTATTCATCACAAAACAAAAATAATAATAATAAATATTTTTTTTCCTTTTCGAAAAAAAACATAATAATAATAATTCTTTCCTTTTCGATAAAAAAAACAATAATAATAATAATAATAAATAATAAAACTTTCATAATGTTCCTCAATAATGTTCCTCGTTATTTCTTTCATAATGTTCCTCGATATTGTTCCTCGACATATATAATCTCCATAATCATAACACGATCGTTTTCGTATCTCCCTAATTTTAAATTTAAGGAGACTATTTAGTGCAATGTTAATTTTATCTACATAATCAAGATCGTTTTCGTATCTCCCCTAATGTATTTTAAATTTAAGGAGACTATATAATGTAATGTTAATTCTTTGCTCTCTACAAGAATCGAACCCGAGCCTCCCGTTTCAAAGGCATTTCTTTACCGCATACACCAACTTGAATATAAATAAATTTAAAATATAAATATATTAAAGTTTCACGGATGCACCAATTTGAATATAATTAAATTTAAAATATTAATTATATAGATTTTGAATAGTAATTATTTAGTTTGTGTGTATGGTATTAAATATACTTTATTAATAAATATATATAAATATTAAAATTTAAGAGTAAAAGAGGTAAAATTGTTGCAATGTTTACTGTGAGCATGTATTAGAAATATCGAAATTTAAAAATGTGATGAAAATCATATTGGATTTTAAAATAGAGGTGCTTTAAGATTTTTGAATTTTAAATGGGTTATAGATTGGTCTGAAATTTTTTTTGCAGACATTGCCAGGCCTGATCAAAAAACCATGTTCCATGCAACTTTCATAAATTAATTAATAGTTGACATTTTTAAAATTTTGCCTGTGTATTGAATGCACTGAATACACACCTAATATTATACATATTTCTGAATATTTAGGGGTAAACTCTTATCTATCAAGAATAAATTACAAATTCAAATAAATAACATAAATAGATAGGAAAATTTTATATATTTACTCATAACTTCATAATTGTAGAATGTATGTTATTCATAACTTACTATAACATTTTTGAATAAATGTATAACCTTTTTGTTTTACTTATATATAATTTGATTATGATTGAAGTTTACCTCCTATTATTTGTTAATTTAGACATATCTTTTTATTTTTTCTATTGTATTTAATAATAATTTCTTAAATTTAATTTTATATTTTGTAAATAAGTAATAAATCATTTGGTTTGTTTAAAATTTAAATTTGGATGATCATATTTTCAGAATGGTACTTTAATATGAATTTCATATAAATACCAGGAGCTCACCAGTAGAATCATAGGTAAATCAGATATTTACCCTTCATTTGATGATAATTTTGAAATTAGACAGATTTAATTAAACCCCTTACATCAGACCTATTTTTCTGGATCAAAAATTATTTGGGTTTTCCTAGGCTTGGGAAATATTTATCACCATTAGTATGGACTTGGACATAGCTTGAGAAACATTTTTCATAATTATTATAGTCTAAGATTCCTGTAAATTTTTTAATTTTAAATATGGGCTAGAAATTTGCCTGAAAATTTCTTTTGAAGACATGGCAAGGCCTGATCAACCAAGGCCCATGCAACTTTTATATTCTTATTGTATTTTTAAATGCATTGTGACTTTTTATATATTTTATTTCACTCCTCAATTATCAAAATTAATATGGTCTTATGCGGGTTTGAGAAAACCAAGTGCGAGGACCTGGCTTGGGAATTTTTTTAATATTAGGCATAAATGTAATATTTAACACAGAATATTTATATGGCCCTCAGATAAAATCTAATTTAAATATATTTTTATTCAAAAAAATAGTATGCACTCTTAGTCTTAATGGGTTGGCCTTGGTTGGGGTGAGCTGGGTTAAAATAGACTAAAAATAGTTTTTAGAGATTTACCTATCTCCAGGCTTGGAAAACAAATATAAATTACTATAAGTTGGCCAGGTTTGAGAAAATTATTATGGGTTGGGCTGGGCTTTGAAAATTTGAATTTTGATTGTATTTTTAAATTCATTATGATTATTTAAATATTTTATTTCAGTTCTTTAACTGCCAAAATTATTATGATCTTTCATTGGGCTTGGAAGAATTTTTCATAATTAATATGGCTTTGGACTACCTGGGAATATTTTTTAATATTAAATATTAGGTATAAGTAATCAGTAATATTTAACAAATAATATTGGTATTATCAAATGCTTTAAATTTATTTTTACTCAAACCATAGCACTTAGTTTAATGGATTAAACCTGGCCTGAAGGGATGAGGAGGTAAGAAGATTAAAAATTGGATATTATTTTCAAATAACAAGTAACATGCATAAAAATAAGAAGAAAATTTTCATTCCCCGTCATTTTTGAAGGGCTATCTACTAGTAATTTAATAATCTTATTGAATTCTCTCATTTGTAGAAATGGGTCACGTTGATGTTATATTTCTCAATGAAATCCAACATGTTTCATATATTTTACCTAATTAATTTCTTCCAACGACAAAATCTTCAGTTATCTTTACTTTGGTACTAAAAATGTTGAAATTTCATGGAGCAGTTTACTTAAATGATTTTAAGAAACTAAAAGTTGTAAAATTTTTAACTCATCCACCCTTTAAATATTTTTCTTAACCTACGCATCCATTCTTTAAAAATTTAACCCGCTTTCCTGCAACCTGCCCAATGCAGACCTCTAATATAGATCCAATAAAACGAATCGCCTAACATTTCGAGCAATTTCCGCCTGTATAAAGTAGTTGCGCTTTTGTTAGGAACAGATTCTCATGAAATTTTTAAAATGGAGGTTGAGTTTCCTGTTCTTACAAATTATAAGATATAAGTTCTGATAGTTTTTAGATATGTCATGGCTATGAAATTTTGCTTCCAAACTCAGATTTTTTAAAATATTTAACACTTTCCGAGATCAACAAACTTCTTTGTTCGAAATTCGACTTCTACTGTTTTCTGTTATTGTAAATAAATTCCTTAAATCTATTTTTACCTGATTTTATTTAACCCAACGTCTAAAGTATCGTATTACATTCTTGAAAAGTAAATCTTCCTTAAATAAAATGATAATATATATTATATAGTACAGGATTTGAACAGATATTCTTTTGGACTTTGTTACAAATTAAATTATTTCCACTAAATATTTTTTAAAATATTTTCTTATAAGAAAAAAACACCTGATTTATTTTATCTTGCTTTGCAGCGCTCATATTTTTTTTATCGAACCGATATTTTTATTAAATTTTTTCGGATCGAATTTGGATCTTTAAAAAAAATGGAACAAACAAATATTGTATCGGACAGGATTTGGAAAAATAATGTCCAATGCAGCTCGGACCAATTTTTTTTCGAATGTTTGAATAAACTAGATAAACCAAAAACCAAATTTTGTTAATTTTCTATATTAATATTATCTTTTGTTGGGGATGACAGAAATTTACACCAACATATCGCAAAGGCAGATCAGGGACAGTCCCGACGATGACCACGCGCCTTCTTCGAACGTCCAAACGATTAGCGTCGCGCCTACCGACGTTCAATCCAAGAAAAACAAATGCTGCTAACTTCTTATTTTTTTAACAAAAAATATTTCGATTTTTTTTATTCCCCTTTTTAAATAATAAAATGCCGAGAACTTTTTTTAAAAAAAATGTCAACATTTCCATGCCTCGAATTGTAATAAAAATAATGGAAAATTGGCTAAAATTCATAACGACTGAAACAAAAATTAATTTTATTCCCCCCCCCCTACATACATACAGTTCTAAACGAATTCACGGTTTTAAAATTGTAATTTACTATTAATATCTTTATAGATTAACAGTTTCTAATATCATTTTTTTTACTATCATTTCTTCATCCAATTTTATTGTTACCCTGATTAACGTCAATTACTGATCTTTTCATATCAACTCAACCTTGTATAAAATATTTGGAAAAGAAAGAAGTATATTTAAGGCAAATTACTTACGCAAATATTTTTTGATCAGCTTAGGACTTTTATATCGTTCAATGTAACTTATAACACTTTCCATTTTACTTTAAAAAAAATTCACTCATGAAATTGGCTCAAAATTTCCTTGGTTATAAATTATTTATTTAAAAATAAACTTTATACTAGAATTAGATCTTTATTTCTCATCTTAATCATTAAAAATAAATATGCCTTACTAGATAATATTCTGATATTTATTTTATATTCATATTATATCATGATTATTTAGGTTTTATGCCTACGAATGATTCTTGAATTCATCTTGATCGCATACCATATTCTTATTTTAAAATTTTCTTTTTTTATAAATAAATTATTGCAAGTACTAATTTCATTTATTATAATATTATCTGTAATATTTATATTAGTTTGATTTAATTTTAAAAATACTTATAATATTATCATCAAGAGCCTATTAATTTTTTACAACATTATTATACTATATTTCTGAATATATATATCCATATCAAGGGAAACAATACAAAATCTTATGGCAAGCTATTATTATGTATTGTTTGTTTTTTTATTAATAATTTATATTTTGAAAATAAACACATTATATATAATATTGATAATTATGGAGTAAAAATTGATACTATACTATATATTTATTTATACCTCAATTTGTGAATCGAATAGATATATTAAAGCAATATACTATTTTTAAAAATAATCGGAATACTAATAATTCAAAATGGAGTACAAAAAAGTGACTTATAGATAGGCCTCATGGGTGCCCACAGCAGTGATCACATATTTTATTTTATTTTTGTAGGAAAAGTCACTTAAATATGATAATTCTACCAAACCCCAAAATTATCAAAAATAATCTTTAAAGACAAATTCAAACTTAAAAAATATAAATAATCCTTTTTTATCAATAAGAAAAGGAACCCCATAAATTTACAAAATTTATGGTTAAAATTAATTGTTTATTGCCTACAAAATAATAACAGTTATTACCTAATGTATTAGATATTTTTTACCCAGCCAATCTTAGGGAACGAAATATATGGATAAGCTCAGATGATCCTTCAAAATATGTTATCGCTTAGTTAAAGCATAAAATAAACCTTTTAGTTTTTATATGGTTACAAATATTTGAGTTTGAAATATTTTACTATCATTTATATTATTTACAATACCTACCCCAGCTCTATCATTTGCTAATTTTGAAGATTAATAACAGAAATATTTCAAAATAAAATACATTACAATATTATTTCATTTATGTTAGTTCAAATTAATATAATAAGATTCCAAATTTTTGGGTTTGAGCTTCGCTTTATTTCATATTATAAAATTTTGCAATTTTTTTTCCTAGAATATTAATATGTATATTATTACTAGTTTTACCTTTTTGGAGCTCAATTTTGTATTTCTTGTAAAGTTTATAATGAACAATTCTAAAATAAAAAGCGATTCATAAATATCATATTCATTTTCTAGCCTATTATAGGCATAGGCGTAATATGTTATTGCTAGAAGAGATAAATTTATAAAATATCGGTAAAAAATTTAAGATATATTTTTTCGGATTTAATAGAGAACACACTATATTAATAAATCAGATTATTAATATTTATGAAAGATTTTGTTTTTTGAAAATTTCTATTTTTTGTTTTTTTTAATATTTTACTTCTATAATGCAGGGATGCGGTTCGGTTCAGTTTAAGGTTAAAAAAATAGGTGGGTTGGGTTCAGGGAAATATTTTTGAACCCGGGGTTGTTCCGGGTTCAGATTGGTTTTAAGAATTTTTGAATTGATTTAAAAAATATTCTATATAAATAAATTTTTTATTTTATTTATAGGCAAAATTTAGTTAAAAATACAAAGCATAGTCATGTATAGATTTGAAAAATTTTATTTAGACGTATTTTTTTAAATTAAAAATATCTAATATAATAATTATTACTTTGACTTGTTCACTTTCATTTTCTTCTAATTAATAATCTTTGAGAATAAGTTAAAAACTGAATATATATGGTGTAAATAAATTTAATTGCTTAAAATTTATTAACAATCTTTGAGAATAAATTTTAAAAAATTTAAAAATGGAGTAAATGAATTAAGTTGTCTCTTAAATCGGCTCTGAGTCGATTAATAACACTACCAGGCCATATTTCAATTTTATAATATATACCCGGGCTGGTCCTGAATTTTTTTTTATCAATAATTATATTTTCATTTGTTTCGAATAAGAATAATAATTTATTCGTCTAAGTCGTTTGGTTTGATTAAATCAAATTTTAGGTTTAGTTTTTTTTAAAAATTTTAATTAAAACCATCTTAATTACAAAAAGAAGAAAAAAAACGTAAGATTTATAATGGGTAGTCATTTGAAAATATTTTGGGATATTTTATCAATTAAAGGGAAATTTTTTGAATCGCCTCATTTTTTAAAATAGAGTATGCCAATATTTATCATCAAATTTAAAATTTTTATTAGCTTATTCACCCTAGATGTTAGTTATAGTTTAATAATCTATTAAAGTCAATTTATATCATTTTCTTAAAATTTTTAATAATTTTTTCATTCCACTTTATACCCATTCATGTTCTTAATAGATAGCAGAATAGATGGTAAAAAATGGAATATTTTGATTCATATAATTTGAATTAAATAACTATCATTTGTTTTGTATTAAATTACAGCTATATCCATAATTGCGAAATCAAACATGAAATATTCTGTTGTAAAATAAAACACAAAGGAAATAAATTCGCCCATTAAACGATCCCACTGCCCTTTTTTCTAAAGAATAAGTTCAGCGCTCTTTACTGAACTGTCTTATTATTTCTAACTTCCCTATTACATTTGTTTAGAAATATGTAGATATTAAACCTATTTAAATATATAGAATTTTTGTAGAATATTTTGAAAATCATAATTATGAATTCTCTAGTCTATTCGAATTCTACATTTATCTATAAATTTTAAAGGAAAAAATGTATCAAAAAAAAGTTTTAAAACATTTATCGAATAAAAAAAATGATTAATTTTGAAAATAAAAACGATATTATCGCTGATAAATTTTTAGGCTCAAACATTATATACAAGTTTTCTAAACACGAAATTTTTAACGTCATTATATTTTTATATACTTTTGAATTTCAAAGACCTAGATTCATATATGCCTTAAAGAAACATTTTCCAGTCGTCCTTGCAGTTCTCCCATCTACTCATTAATATAATATATCTTTAGATTAAATTGGATTGAAATTCTATCTTTCTTTCTTTCTCTCGCTATAAAATATTTATAAAATGAACTCAAGGGCTGAAGATTCCTACTATCCCCATATGATTCTTGGCAAATCAAAAAATCCTTATTATTTTTTTGACATTTAACTTATTGATTACTATAAATTGGATAGCGACTAATATAAATAAAAGTCAATATTATAAATAAAATATTTATCTATTTTTTGGGGTTCGCCTAAAAGCCTTACCAAATTTTGAATAACTGTAATAATTATTTAAATTTCTGATTTTAAAAAATCGAGGTTTGTGAGGTTTTTCTTTTCTAGGATTATTATAAATAATTTCTTTTTTAGATATCTCTGAATCATAAAAATATAGTTATTATGAAATACGCAACAATCATTCGATAGTTATATTAATTCTAAATATCATCATTAGATTATTTAAATTGAAAAAAATTATATATACTATGTCTAATTTTGAGAAATATTTATATCGGTGAGAAAACATTACTTAATAATTGTTAATAACACTACCTGTTAATTGAAAATTACAAAATTAAATGTATTATATTTTCATCCACTCTTGGAATTTCAATTATTGTATTTGGAGTATTTGAGTTGGATTCGAATTAGTTGGTATATTGCTTTTCCTTTGGATATAAACAACTAAATCTTACTTAAAGGTCTTTTTACACTTTTAAGAAATTCATCATCATCTGCGGCATCCCTTTCCAAATTACTTTGATTAGTTACATTTAGATTTTATTTGGAAATTAAAATATGCTTTTTCCTTTTGAGCAATCCCCAAAATCCTTTGGAATGGGCTTTTTTTAACCATCTTTCATCTCATCGGATAAGTAGGCGTTTTCGTTAGATATATATTTTTCGTCTTTTATGGCCTCTGATTTTTATTTGAGGAACGTTAAAATATATTTAATAAATTGCTAAATTTTAAAATTATTTTATTAATAATAGATTTATAATGTTTGCTTATGATTTATGGCTTATCCAAGGTGCTAAACATTTACATTAACTAGTGCTTTGATAGAAGAAAAGGTATGAGACAAAGTATTATAAATATTTACAATAACATACAATGCTTATCAATTAAAAATAACAAAATTATTTATATTCTACTTTCATCTTCTTTTGGCGTTTCTATTATTGTATAATAGATCGGATTTGAATTAAATTAACTATATCATTTTTCAATTGTGTGTTATCACTAAAATCTCCTGATAAAGGTTTTGTCACAAGTACAGCGGAAGTGTTAGCGGATTCTTTAATTTGTATTTTTGTGATATTTATAACAACTTATAATAATTTGTTATACAATAATAAAAACATTTTAATTAAATACAGTATTTTAAAATGGTTTTAGTAATTTTAAGTTAATATGTTCGATTATTGTTCTTGGCAAATCTACAATTCGAAACTACTATTTTTACCACTATTTTGGGGAATGGAGGGGGCATTGGGAAAATGTATGAATGAAGCATTATAAAATGATTTATTATTAGTTAAAAAAATTTAAATTTATAAAATGGTATTTTACTTCCACACTCTACCATACTTTCCAAATTTGGTTTTGATATAGAAGTTACAGATCCCTTTTTCCGCCGGGTGCCCCAAACCCGTTGGTGTAGGTTTCCTTTAACTCCTTTTTTCGAACTAACTTGTTTATTCATGATGTCATTTGAAGTATCTAATTCGATTTTATGACAAAGGATTTTTATATGACATACGTTAAAAAATATTTAATAAATTTCTAAATTTTAAAATAATTTTATTAATACTACTAGGTTTATAATGTTTGCTTATGATTTGTGGCTTATCCAAGGTGCTAAACTTTTAAATTTACTGGTGCTTTGATAGATGAAAAAGTTATGATAAAATGTACTATAAATATCTACCTTAACTTACACTGCTTATTAAGTAAAATTACAAAATTATTTGTATTCTACTTTCATCTCCTTTTGGCTATTATTGTATTTTAAATCGGATTTGAATTAACCATAAGCAAACATTATAAACCTAGTATTAATAAAATAATTTTAAAATTTAGCATTTTAATAAATATTTTTTTAGGTGCAAATAAAAATCATTGGTCATAAAAATCGAATTAGATACATCTAATGACAACATCAATAACCAAGCTAATGCAATAAGAGGTTATAAGAAATATATTCCTACTGGGGGCATTTTCCAGCGGAAAAGGGAATCAGTAACCTCACATCGAAACCAAATTTGGAACATATAAAAGTAGTGGAAGTAAAATACCATTTATAAATTTTGATATTTTTTAATTAATATTAACGGATTTTATAATAATGCTTTATTCATACATTTTCTCAATGCCCCCTCCATTCCCCAAAATAGTAGTTTCGAATTGTAGGTTTGCATTGAAAAATAATCGAAAATATTAATTAAAATTACTAAAAACATTCTAAAATCCTGTATTTAATTAAAATGTTTTTATTATTGTATCTCAAATTATTATCAGTTGTTATAAGCATCACAAAAATACAAATTAAAGAACCCGCTAAAACTTTCGTTGTACTTGTGACAAAACATATATCAGGAGAATTTAATGATAATATACAAATGAAAAATGATATAGTTAATTTAATTTAAATCCGATTCATAATACAATAATAGAAACGCCAAAAGAAGATGAATGTAGAATGCAAATAATTTTGTAATTTTTAATTGATAAGCTTTGTAAGATAATGTAGATTAGTGATCTGCATCGGGCCTAATTTTTTAAGCCCGTCCCGGCCTGAAATTTTTTTTAAAAAGTTTTGCCAGCCTGGCCCGAACCCGTAATTTTTTAAAAAAGATTTTGCCGGCCCGGCCCGAACCTGAATTTTTTTAAAATAATTTACCCACCCGGCCCGTCCCGAATTTATTTAAATATAGAAATTAATTTTTATATTTACTCAAAATAAAAGACATGTTATATGTCGTTTAATTTCAATAAATAAAATCAAATATTTTTATTTTACATAAAAAATTCAATATAAAATTGATAAATTTAGATATATTTAAAAAAAATTCCAAGGCCCCGAACTCGGGCCGGGACTAACTTTACAGATCTCTAAAGTAGATATTAATAATACTTTTTCTCATACCTTTTTAATCTATCAATGCACTAGTAAATGTAAAAGTTTAGCACCTTGGATAAGCCATAAATCATAAGCAGATATTAATAAAATAATTTTAAAATTTAGCTTTTTATTAAATATTTTTTAACGTGTCAAATAAAAATCAGAGGTCATAAAAGACGAAAAAAAATATATTTAACGAAATGCCTACTTATCCAATGAGATGATAGATGGGGATTGACCAGTGGAAAAGATATATTTTAACCTCCAAATCCAATCTAAATGTAATTAATCAAACAAATTTGGAAAGGGACATGGCAGATGATGGAAGTAAAATACAATTTATGTTGTCATTTTTACTCAATAAATAGTGGATTTTATAAAATGTAACTCTTTACTCAACTTTTCTCCAGTTTGTCACCCTGAATTTGCTTCAAACAATAAGTAAACAGAATAAATTTAGTGATGCAATAAAATATTTTAAATATATTTTTTTATCGTATCTCTTACATGAATCAATCTTATAAACAAAACGCCGCAAAAACCACTTGATGACAAAAGTAGTGCAAAATATTAATAATCTAAATCTTCATTCATACATTTTCCCCATGCCCCTTTCATTATCCAAAATAATGGCAATAGAAATAGTTAAGCACGTTGGGCCTGCCCTAAACAATTAGAGAACATATTAACTTAAAATTACAAAAATAATTTTAAAATTCTGTTAAATTTTTTGTCGAATGATTACCAGTTTTTACAAAAAAAATTAAAGAAACAACCAACCCTTCTCGTGAACCTAGTAAAAGTGTAAAGATCGTTTAAGGAAGATTTGATTGATCAAAGGAAAAGGGATATACCAACTAATTCGAAATCCAACTCCAAATACAATAATTGAAATCACAAGAGGATGAAAATTAAATACAATTTAATTTGTAATTTTTACATATTTAATAGTGGATTTTATAAAATATCTTTTTTTCCCATGCTCCTTTAATACATGAACGGACTGATAAATATAATGGTGCTACCCTGAATTTGCTTCATATAATAAGCAAACATAATGAATTTATTAATGTAACAAAAGATTTTAAATTCATCATACCTTCTTTTTAACTGTGAGCTCTATATCCTCGAAAACACTGATAAAAGTAATGGTTTTGATATTAGATTTGCTAAAATAATAAGCAAACCATAGACAAATATTATAAAAATATATTTTTATCGAGTCAAAATAAAAAATAGATTTCAATGAAAAAATTATACTGATCACGCAGTATATTCTTCAGATGGAATTTTTTTTTTACAATAATCCCATTCAATTATATGTCTAGGATTATTGGTTTCCAAAGGATAAAGTATACAAATCGAAACCAAATTTAAGTGGAAATAAGGTTAATATACCGAAAAAAAGATGAGTAAAATAAAAATTAATAAATTTGTAACTTTAAGTTAACATATAATCCATTTTATCTGGTTCAGGCTTAAAAACTTAATTTGTAAAAAAATTCTTAAATGAAAAATAATTCAGTAGATCGTTCGTTTATTCATTTACTGCTCAAACTTTTAACTTTACTTTAATACAAAATAAAATTTTAACCTTCTTATATTTATAATATTTTAACCAGATTGTTTGTTGATTTATCATGGCGAGTTTTTAACAAATGGCAAAGATTTAATTAATTTTTGAAATATGTGTATATTAATTACGTTAATATAAAATATCTTGGACCTAGCAACCTCGATTATTTTCCTAATGCATTGATCATCGTTAAATAACGCAAAAAACAAATCAAACATTTGCTACATATTTTTCATTATTTTTTTTATTTTCTAATAAAAGTTATAATGTGGTTAAACTGAATCGAATTAAATGAAGTTACAAAACACAAAGAATGAATCAGGGTGTATGAATGATATTAATAAAATCATAAGTTAATACAATTAATATTTTTGTTATTTTTTTTATATTTATTTATAATTTTTTTGTATTGAAAAAATGAGATATCGTTTGGGATTACAAAGTAAATTGGAAAATTATAATTCAAAAAAAAAATTTATGAAAAAATTTAGCCAAATGGTATGAAATATTTTTAAAAAATCCGTAAATTTTATTTTATAAATTCAATTTTTTTAAGAGAAAAAAAAACTATAAGAATTAAAGGATACAAAATTAAATTGAAATAAAATTGTAGAGGTGTTGTGATGAGAGTTAGAGAACTACAGATGAGGCTTCTGGACTGAAGGTTTCAGCACTTGCACAGTAAATTTTTTCAGGTACACAAATTTTCATCTACGAATATTTCGGAATATACAAATTAATCTAAAAAATGTTTAATTGTAACCTTACTTATTATATAATAAATAATAGTGAATTGAATAAAAATGAAATTAAAAAAAATAAAAATACTTAATAATGAGTGCGATAAACGGTATAAAAAGAATCACACACACAAATTTCCCCAACAAAAATTGGGAGAAATGAAAATGCATAAACCTGAAGTTTATAAATAGACATAGCCATATATAATAATATTATAAGATAAATCAGATTTTCAATCATCAAATAATTGACTAAATGATGTGTATAAAAAAAATATATAATTTACAATATTTTTATATATATATTTACAAAATAAATATTATTAATTGCATATATTATATAATAAATTACAAAATAAACCACCAGCCTTGCTAATTTAAGAATGAGTTTTTAATTATACCAAATCGTTATAAAAATAATTAAACAAGATCCAAATAAAGCCATAACTATCATTACAATGGTGCAATGCGAAATAATTTAAACTGATCTGCCATTCTACACTATGATTCAATGCCTCGTAGGTTAGAAAAGGGTAGTTATGAAGAAAAACTATATGTTAGAAAGGAGTTATCCAAAATGGATATATAATGTTTATTTGCAAAGGTTATGTAATAAAAAGGTTATTACATAAAAAAATGCTCATATTTATGTAATTAAGATATTTATAGGGATTATTATTATCATTGTAAGATCAATATATGTATCGTAAGTAAAGGACAACAAATTAAAAGTGCTCTATTTTGATGAAAAATTTACCAAAAATTCAGACTTCTAAGCAAATCCAAAAATTTACATGAAAATGAAACATAGAGTAACGTTAATGTATGCAATGAAATATTGAAAGAACACAAAAAACTATGTTTTTAAAAAGATGATATTTAATTCTATCATAAAGTTGTACAAAAATTATTGATATTTATTATTTGTTAAGCTTCATAAAAATTATTACAAGAAAATTGTTTTTTAGCTATAAATCCAAGGTTTTTAATTTCCATTAAGTTGTGGTAGTGGTTGTTCTCGTTCACGCTCAGGGTTGTTATTATTGCCTCCAACTCTTCTTCTCCTTAAGGGAGGAGCCGAGGTGCTCCTTGTCTGAGCTATTATGGCTCTAATTCTTCGCTGGGCTGACTGAAATAATAAAAGATAATTTATTTTAAATAGCGCTGTGCTGACAATAAATTTTTTTGTATATTCAATATTCCTAAATTTATCTAATAATCAATTTCTTTTATTCATTATTATGGTGACTACTGGAGGTTTAAAAAATTCTCTGTGGTCTGGATCTAATAGGATCATTGTTTCCTCTATGGGGTATAAAAACCACCTAAATGGGTTAGCAGGAAAAGCATCTGATTGTAAAACCTTGAAAATTCCTAATGATTACAACAATGGATGGGTGAGTATAACCAAAGTACCCTATGAGCCTCCTCATCCACCTACGTCAAAAAGAAGGATGGAAAACCTGGTGAAATCATAATTATAATACATATGACTGCTATCAAAATGACTTGATAATAAGTGAAGAAACCAGTTTACGAGTGATAAAATTTACGATATGGAATGTTGGGAGAATAATGGGAGAAGCGATGATGCACTGCATGGAAGGCATATATGAGTGTTGTTTACAAGAAACCAGATGGAAAGGTAATGACGTAAGAATGATTGGCAGGACAAGAAAAGTAGATAATCTGGGAAAGGAAGTAACGATGATAAAGTTAATGTTGGCCTATTTGTTGCAGAGAAATGGGTGGACAATGTAATTGAAGATAGAAGACTAGGTAATTAGATAATAAATATCAAGATGATCTTTGGTAGAAAGCTCTGCAATATTATTATGCCATATGTTCTGCAGGTTGGAAGAAGTGAAAAATACATTTTGGGACAGTCTATTGAAGGTGACAACGAGACTGGTAAATGAAGATGGGATTATCTTGGCTGGTGATTAGACATGTGGGAACGAGTAGTGAGGGTTATCAGGAAGTATATGGAGGATTTAGTTATGACACGAGAAATACAGAAGAGGAGAGGATTTTGGTGATGCTATGGATATGATTTTTGTACAATGTTTAAGAAAGAATCAGAGAAGCTGGTAACTTACAAGCCGCGTAGTGTTAAGTGTGGTGGATTGTTAGTAAGGAGATGTAATAAGGAGCAGAGTAAAAAATATAAAAGTGATACTGGGGGAGGAATGCATTGTCAGCACCAACTACACTAAAAGTAAGTTCGGGACAGGGCTAAAAGTTTGGAAATTGAAGGATGAGTGCTAGACGTCAATTCAATATGACATTAGTGATAAGAGTAGGTGGCATAAGCAACTGTGGTAAATGACAAGTGAGAAGTCATGTGGAATTTGGAGGTTGCGAAAGCTGTGGATGAGAAATGGGGATGTTTAAAGAATAGTATAATAGTAAAAAAAATAGTGATAACGATATTTACAAGGTGACGAAAAGAAATTAATAGCAAAGCACAAGAAGAACAAAGGAAGGAATGGGAAATGTGGTCTGGCTGGCAAAGAGAGGCAGGATGTATGGTGATTGATAGTAGTTGTGTTAAGAAGATCTGGGACATAAGTAAGGACTTTTGAGCAAAGAGAATGAATGATAACGAAGCTAGTTGTGCAAAGGTAGAAGGACCAGGGTGTAAATTTGGTAGGGACAAAATTATGAGAGCATAGAAAAAGATGAAAAAAGGGAAGGCAGAAGGTTTAACCAAAGTGGTATCAGAAATGTTCAAAGGTTCTGATTTAGGGATTGAATGGTTAATGAATTTAGCCAATCTTATTGTCACAAAATGTGCTATTCCCAATTGTCGAAGAAGTATAGAGTATACAAGGGGAAATATGATCTTTTAGATTGTGGGTCTTACAATGCTATTAAACTCTTGGAACATGCAATGAAAGTATTTGACAGGGTGATGAAGTGGATAAGGGAACACGAAAATTGATGAATTGCAGTTTGAGTTTACACTGAGGAAAGACACAACAGATGCAAATTTTGTAAGGAAAACTGTATTATGCGTTTGTTCATTTAGAGAAGGCACTTGGAAGGTAGCTGCACAAGGTTATAAAATGGGTCTTGAAAATCGAGTGTGGAATAATGGTTATTTATGGTAGTGATGGCAATGTATGTGGGAGCACAAACTGCAGTCAGACATATAATGGAGATAGTGAAAGCTTTGAAGCAGAGACCTTCATGAACCGAGCCAGCCCGCAGGCCAATACCCGGTCTCTAATATAATATATTCTAGTGAATCTGGGTCAGACCTGGGTTAAAAAAATTTTTAATGGGCTTAGGCTGGGCCTAAAAATATTAAATTTAAATTATTTAAAACAGTTGCTTATTGTAAACAAAATGATTGCCTAAATATATTCAAATATTGTATATATTCATTAAATAAAAAAAAATAAAATTTTTGTGAAACTTATTATGGGCTTGGGCTGGACTAGGGAATTTTTTTAAACATTAAATATGGGCCAGGCTGGGCTTGGGCCAAAAAATATTTTTACTGCTGGCTTAGGCCAGGCCTGGTCAAAAAATTAAGGCCCATTAAGGTCTCTGCTTTGAAGTGAAAGTAGGACTTCACCAAGGATCCATGCAGTCCTTTATTATTTATCTTAGTAATGGATGTGGTAGTTAAAATGTGTTAAGAACTTACCTGGGGATTATCATATGCAGATGACGTTGTATTAATGGCAAATAGTGAGGAAAAATTAGTTGAGGTGGCTATGGAAGCAATGAATGTGTAAAAGAATCAGGGAAAAGATGTTAGCAAGAAAGATCTTTATTTGTAGAACGCGCATAAAAGAGGTACATATAACGTAGAAAATGGTGGTTTAGATATTTGTAAAAGGTTAATCCTGGGAAAAGTTTTGCTATTTGGGTGATGTTAAACACAGATGATGGTGTAGATTCTGCTGTTCTTACAAGGGTCAAAGAAGTTTAAAGAGATGTCTATTATAACAAATAAAAATGTCTCTCTGAAGTAAAAGGGAAAAGTTTACATAAGCTGTGTGAGTGTTGTTTAGTTTAGTTTATAGCAGCAAAACATGGGCAATGAAAGTGATTTACGCACCAAATAGGAAAGAACAGAGATGAGGATGACATAGGGGTATCTCTGAGAGAAAAAGAAATTTAGGAATTGAAGCAAGAATGTAAATAGAAGTGATTGGAGTGGTAATGTAAAGAAATGCACTTTGATGGAAGTAAGAGGATTAAAACGAGGAAGGCCCAAGATGACGTGAATAAATGTGTTAGTGGCAGATAGAAGAAAAATAAATCTTACAAATATTTATGTTGAGGACTATCAAAAATGGAAAAGAAAAATCAGAGGGAAACTGACCAACCTGGAAATCGCCATTAAATGGGGAAGAATTAGAAAATTATGTATAAATATTATAAAATAACCCAAAAAATAATATCGGATGGGATATTGGTAAATTCAATTTTTTTAAAATAGTAAATTGGCCCTTAAAAAATCCAACGCGTTCACATTCAACATTCATTGACAAAAATCGAACCACGTTCAAGTTCATGTTCAAAAAAAAGGAACGCGTTCACGTTCATAAAAGCGTTCAAAATTTTATGATAAATTTTTTTTTAATTTAATTTAATATAAATAAACTTATATTTTTTAATATAATATATTTTAGCCATGTTAAAAAATAATATAAACAATAATATTCAAATTAATAAACTATGTGTTAAATAAATTGAAATGTGAAAAGGTAATACACAGCCGATTAAAAAATATAAATAATACATTTTTTTTAAAATTCAGAAATATTAATTTTTCAAAATAAATAAAAATATTTTTAAAATTGAACGAAAGTTAAATTCGAACGAGCATGAACGCGTTCGTTTACAACACTACTAATATTAAATAAATGATATTTTTTAGGGTTAAACTTGATTAGGATAGAAGGGTCCTTGGATAGAGATGCAGCTTTCTTCTGGAGGATCCTCCTTGTTACCTTCTTCCGAAACGTTAATAGAAGCACCAGTGAGCTTTTGCAATTCTTGCACCTTGATGTATCAATAAAGTAAGGATTTAATTTTTTCTCAATAATTTATTTTGTAAAATTTCGACAAACATTTTGGCCTTTGCGTCCTATGATTCTACCCACCAATGGGGTGGGAACAAATATTTGACAAGTCAAGCTAACTTCATCCATACCAGCAAATCCTTCATTTTGAATCTTCTCGAAAATGTGGAATTGAGCCTTGTATAAAAAAATTTAATGGGGAGATATCAGTGAATTAAAATTTGTTTATAATTACTTTCCATTGGGCTTCAGGGGTTCCTATAATGGTAACTTTTCTAGCTTTGGAAAGTGCATCATCAGCCTTTTCAGGAGGAGAAATCTATAAAATATAAGATCAATTATTTTTTCAAAGTAATTCAGTATACTATAATCTGGGCTCCAGATTGATTTTTGACATTTCTAATATTAGATCCCTTGGTTCCGATTATTGCACCAACAGAGGCATAGGGAATGTACAAAAACACAGTCTCTGTTTCTCCTCTTCCATTACCAGCACCAAAAAAGAGCCCTGGGAAGTAGTTGGCCATATTCTGTAATTATAATTGTATTCTTTATAACTTTAATGGCATAATATTTTTTATCAAATTATGTAAGTAATTTATATAATTTATGTTATTGAAGGCTTTAAATAAACTTTTAAAGTTAATAGTTTGATTATTCATTAATTATTAAAGAACGTCATGAATGTATGATAGTATTTTCTTAATTATTATTTTTGTACTGCAGTCTTATGCATTAAAAATTGACTGCACTAAATATGAATGATCTTACGATCAAGCCTACTGAATTTGCTCTTGGGCCTCCATAGTTGGGTAGACCTGGAAACATGAAATCCTATAGATATAAATTTAAAAAAGATTATTTGGTATAATGATTATTATTTTTTAAATGTCAACTGTGACTAATTATTCAAATTTTTAAATATCAACTATCAGCCAATATCCTTATAAAAATAGTGGATAAAAAAATTATTTATTAATATTGTATGAGTGATATATAGCACTTATCATCATTGCTTAGAGAGTACTAAACACCAATAATAAATATACACTTTTTAAAGATTCCACCTTAGCCCACATTATTAACTGGCCAATCTGCTATATTAACCCAATAGCATAGAAACACTTTTAAATAGAATTAAATTCCATAAGGATGGTATATTAATATAACCACTTATACACTAGGCCTTTAAAATATTCATAAAAAGTTTTTTAAAAATTTTGTATACTCTTCAAATTGCATGCACACCATCACACAAGGTTTAAATATTTGGTTAAACCATATTTTATCTAAATAATATTTAACATCATTCACATTATATAAATTTTTTTTAAATAATAATATAAAATTGTATTGGCTGATAATCTGTCATATTATCTTAATATAGCTTTTGACTATCCCCTAATATTATTGGTACATTCTTTCAACTAATACATATTTATGAAATTACCCTCATTGCAGCTAAATCACTTTCATAGCTTTGCTTAAGCTTGGCTGTTATCATTGTTTGAGCTTTGATAACTTTATCTAAGGGGCCTTTTATAGTTATGGTTCTTTCCATATTACAATTGTCTACATCTTGATGGCCACTGAAAATTGATTTAAAAATTATGAAATTAGATACAAAAAATCTTTAGTTGTGAGTAAATTGTTCAGTTTTCTAAGGTTGGACCAAACAACGGTGATTTAGTCTTTAGAATCTGTTTTATGGTTAAAAAATATAACCAGCATAGCAGGTGTTAAAGGGATGTCTGATGCCTCACTGTTATTATATTTAAATATGCATTTGATTTATATGTTGTTTTGTGTACAAACTAAAATAGGTTCTGATCATAATCCAGTCTTTAAATTATAGTTCAGTTTGGTCTTTTAGTTAAAGACTGAACTGGAACCTTTCCTAATTCTAATCTTTCATATTGCAGATGTAATTAAAATAAGTAAATATAGTTTAAAATACCTAGATACTGTAATTCTAGCATCAGACTCTGCCATAAATTGTTTAACATTATTTCCATTTTTCCCAATAATTCTACCAATTAAGTTATTGTGAGCCAGAATTTTAAGAGGTATCTCTCTGAATAAATGTGTAAGAAATGTATAGAATATCTCATAATTTACCCTTTTCCATTTGTTTTAGTTTCTTCATTCATTATTTCTAAAATCTTTTTACATGCCTCAGTACAGGCTTCCAGTGATCCAACAATCATGATTGTCTTAACAAGGAGTTAAGATTTTAAAAAAATTTAGTTTTTACCTGCCAATCATTATTCAGTGACATATCTCTAGGTTTCATCATAAAATTTCTTCTTACCTCTGAATTATCTTTCTTAAATACATCAATCCTGATAATAAATAAATAAGTGAAATATTAATTAAATCCTACCTTGCATGACTTTGTTGAGTAATGGTCCTAATAGTTTCTCCCTTTCTACCAATTATAGCTCCAACCATTTCACTAGGAACTGATATCCTAATTTATACATATATTTCAGAATCAACAATATTATTCAATTACTTTAAAGGAAATTCAGAAACTTTGGGTATTATATTTCTACCATTCTGACCATTATTATTGTTATAGGATGATACTCCTCTTCTAGTACCCCTATTATTACTAGAAGAATTTGAATTGCCATTAAAATTTCTTGCTCTTGGTCTTCTAGGTGGAATCAAGCCAACCTATAAAATTAAAATGATCAAAAAATTTTATAATAAAATTGTACATCCAATGTCTCTCCTTCTAGTTCCTTATTATTTAATTTCTCTATAACTTGTTCTGCTTCTTCCATTGATCCATAAGTAATAATATGAGTATTTGGTGGATTATTCAAAGTCTCAAATTTCAAAATACGACCAAAGGTTTTTAAAAGATCTTGCAAATCTTCAATAGAAATTTTTTGAGGAGTATTTTTGATTTGAACTCTAAATGTCCTTTAATAAAAATTTTATAACATTGTTTGATTTAAAATGTTGTTACTTAGTCTTGGGGAATGATGGCTCAACAACTATATCTGTCCCCATAAACTTGTATCCTTTACATTATTCAAAGAATATTTAATTTGAATAAAAAATATCTTACTATTCAATTTATCAATTGCATCATCTGCCTGTTCTTGTTCAGGGCAATCCACAAATGCATACCCTTTTCTCAAAGCAATTTCAGTAACTTTAATATTGAGATTCTCAAACAACTCCCTTATTGAATCTTCTTCTACTTCAGGAGTCAGGTTTCCAACATATAATTTCATTTTAATCTATTTTATAATTTTTGAGAAAATGCCCCTGTATGTTTGGTAAAGGTTAGAATGGAACGAAGTGGACAGGCTTTGGAAGCGTCCGCACTATCTTACTCTGTAAAAGAAATAAATAATTAATAGTAAAATAAATTATGTGATAGTATAGATTTAGAACATAAAACTATTCTATAAGTATTAATATCATATTAATATTTTTTAGAAATTACAGTTCTAAAGTTAATAAAATTAAAAACCTCTGATTTTGTTAAATATTTTAAAATTGTTAGAAGAACAATTTAATATTATCGATTTTCTAAATTTATTTCGACATTTAAAAATAGATATTAATTGTAAAAAAAATATTTTAATTATTTTACCTTTGGCTGGTGGTTTATTCTAAAATAGAAATCACGTTTTTAAAGTTATGTTTGTGTTTATTTACGTTCGATAAATTATATTAAATTGATAGAAAGATGATATTAAGAAATTTAACAAAATGTCACGTGGGAAATAGATCGTAAAACTATATATATGAAATAATATTAATTTTAAAAAAGAAATATTTGTTTTGCCAATTTCTTTAACTTAAGAATCAATAATGTTCTTAAATCTAGAATAATAATTAAAATAATTTTATAATAATAAATCAAATTTTCAGGTAATTAAATTTGAATTTTTTTTGATCATTAAGGAAATTGAATCATTAGTTGCTCATTTTTTTTATATCTATATTAAAACGGTAAAATTTAGTTAATATGAAAATGTTAATTTACTCATAGACCATGATATGGTGCTGTTTTTTGCTATTGGTTTACTATTTTTTGATTCATATTATTTTAAGTAACTAGCCAAAATAATTTTAAAATTATTTATTTTCACTGTGCTATGGTAGGTAACAAGTTTGGATGGCTAAAATTATAAATGTACCGATAGGAAAATTTCCCCTATAGTTTCCCTAACTATTATTTTATGCTTATTTTATCAAATAATCAGGATTATTTTTTATCATAATTCTGTTTTGTTTTTGTATTTATGATGATTTTCGATAATAATAAAAGCTCAACTCTAGTCATGCTTATCTGAAGGAAATTCTTTTATCTGAAATTTATTTTAAATTTCTAATAATAACTGAAATAAGGATAAGGAGTTTCCACTACTAATTTTAATTCTACTAATAATAATATAAATTTCTTAAAATAATTTAATGAAATATATTGATAATTTAGCAACACCATTTGTATGTTAAATTGTTCATTTTTGATAATGCAACCTGTATTTGGCTTTAATCTTTAAAAACAGCATTTAAAATGCTCACAAGATATTTATCTAGTAAAAATTTCAGTGAATATGAAATAATTAAAAATATAGTAACCGAAAGATAAGAAAAAAAATAAAAATTTGACCCTTATTAATGATGTGTAGACAAATATAATAGTGAAATATATTAGTGCCTGTATCGAGCTTAATTTTTCAAGCCCGGCCTGGGCCCGGCCCGAATTTATTTAAATATAGAAAAATTTAATATTTTTTTAACAAATAAATATTACAGCCTTGTTTCTTGCCAGAATTTTAAAATATATCAATTTGACAAAATGTAGATATCATATATAGAAAGTCAGAAATTTTTTAAAGATTTATTAAGCCCGAACCAGTCCGAACCAAAATTATTTTTAAAAATAACTTGAGGTTCGAGATGGGTAAGGGTGGAGCCGTTTACAGATCTCTAGAATGTATTATAAATTATAGCAATCCTCCTAAGTCCAATTTTTATGAATTAATTTAAACAGGAACCAATATGCATACGGGAGTATGTATACATATATTGAATTTATTAAAGTAATTGTAGAAATAGGAAACAAAAAAATTAAGATAATAAATAAATAAAGTAATGAAGAAAACCTGAACACTTGTGAAAATTAAATATATAAATATCGAATGCATTGGGTCTTTATATCATGGACTTTTGCTTTTAAAGGATCTAGCAAATAAAATATTGCCAAATAAAATTTTTGTAGTATAAGCCCAAATTATTATAAAATATATGAAGTTCAACATTCTCTTTTACATATTAAAGAAAAACAACTAATTAGTAATAAAAATAGGAATGTTTCTATAAAGTTGTAGCTCACCCAACTCTTTGGACGGTATCATTATGATAATTAATAGTTTGTTAAAAAATAAAATATTTTGTTGTAATACTACATTTTTTATTGAAATAAGAAACTTAATCTTCTCGATAATGTAGTTTACAATAAGTAATTTTTATATAAATATAGGAATTCAAAGTGGACAAATCAATCTGTCGTTCTTAAACATTTATTCATATCAAGGAAATCTCTTATGGAACAAAAAAATAGGAAATTTTTTTTTGCGGGATATATATTACCCTGTTTATATACTTTATTTAAGGATTTAATTTCAAAGATAATGACATTGTTGATATTAATATAAATATAAATTGATTTTGTTAATTTGCTTATAAGCTACAAATTATTATAATAGGCAAAAATAAAAACATATAAATATATTTTATTATATTAAATAAATCACTATATATTATTATTTCGAATTCAATTAATTTAGCTAAGAATTATTTTCTTTTAGAGACGTATTAAATGGTTAAAATTATAATATGCCTAACGAAGACTCAAAGAAGATATTTCTGAAGAAAAACGAAGAAATATCAAAACCTACTCAATTTTTTCTTATTCTTTTATTTTGTAATGTAAAAAATCAAAATCTGCCTTTATTATTCAAATTAATCTCAAAATATATAATAATAATAAAAATAAACATTTTACAAAAAATAACAAATAACAACAATTTAATACACATCATTTATCCCCAGTCGATCTGGTTTCGATCGTATCCTTTTGGGATATCGATCTTGACTTGTTTCTTCCTCCCTCTCCTTTGAATTCATTTCATAGTTATTTTTTATTACATCCTCTTTGTTTACTATCTCTGTTTACTATCTCTTCGGATTTCTCTTCTACTCCGATCTCTCTTCTAATTCGTATTCTTCAATTAATACATTTTCGGTTCTTTTCTTTAATTGGTCCGTATGACGTATAATCGTATTATCCGCTATACTTACTTCATAACGTTGTGATCCGAGTATGCCTTTAATACTGGCTTCTTCCCATTTTTTTCTACTATTGTAAAGGCGCGACCAAACATTTTCATTTATCTGAAATTTTTGATTGTGGTATTCAAATTTCTCCTTTTTGTTTCCCCGTTGGAAAATTTGATCTAACAATCATCTAGGTTTAAATTTTAGTAGTATTTCAGCGGGACTTTGTTCAGTTTCTGTTCCTGGTGTATTTCTGTAATTGTAGAGAAAAATAGCTAGGCTGGTTTCTAAATCCCTCTCGTTTCTTTTATTCATATTCTGTTTAAAAGTTCGAACTAAACGTTCGGCCATGCCGTTTGTCTGAGGATGGTAAGGACTTCCGTGCACTAATTGAATTCCGTTTTTTTCACAAAAATCATTGAAATCTTTGCTGCTTAATTGGGGTCCGTTATCAGAAACGATTATTTTGGGAAATCCGAATCTTGCAAAAATATTTATTAATATTTTTATCGTGCTTTCGGTTGTAGTACTAGTCATGGGAACTATTTCTGGCTAGCGACTGCTAGCATCTAACACTACCAACCAATAATGATTTTGAAATGCTCCAGCATAATCAATATGTAATCGGTGCCATGCTTTTGGTGGTTTTGGCCAATTTTGAATTGCTGTCTTTTGAGGCATATCTGTTCCTGGCATTCTCTACATTTTTCGACCCAAGTTTCTATATCTTGGTTTATATTAGGCAACCACTCGTATTGCCGGGCTCTTATCTTCATTTTTACCATTCCGATATGTCCTTGATGAATCATGTCCAACACGTTGTTTCGGTATTGTTGTGGTATTATCATTTTCGTTCTCCATAATAAACAACCTCTCTCAGTTGTAATTTCCTCTCTCCTTTGGCTATACTCCTTTAAACATGCATCATAGTTTATTAGCCATCCATCTATTGTATAACTGTATACTTTAGAAAATATATAATCTCGCATTGTTTCTCTTTTAATTTCGCTTGCATTTAAAGGTGTTTCTCTCATCTGTATTTAATCTAGCGCTTCTTCTTTTGATATTGGAGTTCCCTTTAGGGGTAATCTAGATAGCATGTCAGCATTTGCTATTTGTCTACTACTTTTGACTTCTATTTCATATATATTTGTGCCTTTTAATCTTTCAAGCAGCCTAATTCTTTGGTAAATAATTGAGGAAATTCATTTTGTATATTAATATTATTTATTTGTATGGTCCTTTCAGGTAATTAAGTCATTTTGGGAAATTTAATTATCCAATTTTTTCCAATTAGATTTTTACATATCCTTTTGTAATTATGAGAGGTAGTTCTAATGTTCACCCTTTATATTTTACTTTTACTACAGTTTGGCCTAATAGTGGTACTGGTATATTGGTTCCTATATAACTTTTAAGTTTTAGCATGCAATTTGTTAATTTAGGATGATTAAGTTTATTTTTTCAATCTATTTCGTTAATTATACTGACTCCAGCTCCAATATCCAATTCCATTCTTATATCGCTGTTGTTTATTTTGACATCCACCCAAAATTCTGGATTATATTCGTTTGTTTTATTATTAATAAATTCTCTATTTATTTTCTACAGACTCGAGCAATGTGTCCAATTTTGTTGCATTTATAACAAGCGGCATTCTTGAAAAAACAATTGTTGTAGCTCGCATTATAATTATTATATGATTTTAATTGTTTAACATTTATTATATGATTTTGTTTGTTTATCATTATCATTATTAACTTTTTTAATTATTGGTTTCTCATTTTTCATCATTTTGTTGATTATATTGATAAAAATTATATCTTTCTACTATTATATTAGGTTTAGGATGAAAATGCATGATTAAAATATTTTGTATTTCTAATACCTCTTTGTTTCCCGGACTATCAGGTGCACATAAATTTACCAGTATTTTGTACGTATCACACCCTATTTGTTAATAACAGAGATTTTTCTTGTGATGGTGTTAAACTTGGTTGTGTGTTTTTAAATTCTTAAAATAAGTTGTACCAATCTTTGTAACACAGGTTTGAATCCGTTAGACTTTTTATAGACTGCGCCATTAATGTAATTTTAGTAGTAAACGAGTTTTTCTTAATCTTTTATTTTGTAATGTAAAAAATCAAAATCAGCCTTTATTATTCAAATTAATCTCAAAATATATAATAATAATAAAAATAAACATTTTATAATAAATAACAAAAAACAACAATTTAATACACATCATTAACATTCAGGATTATCTATATAATATAGAACTCATTTTCAAAGTAAAAAATATTGTTGATCAAAATAAAAAAAGATTCATTATTAGCCTATATAGGACTGATAATTTAATTAAAATTTTTTTACTTCCCTAATAACCTAGATAACATAAATTATCCAATTCTACTTGACAATTTAGAAAAAATATTTAAAGATTTTTCGAGTATTTTTCTACATCGCAATAATTTTTATACTTTAAAAAGAGGCAGTGAAACTATTATCGATTTTTTAATCAAATTAAAAAGCATTTGCTCTTTATGTAATTTTAAATCGCCGGTTGATGAACTCTTAAGAGATATTTTCATCTTAGGAGTAGAGCTACCTAAGCTGGACAAAGAACTTCGGTCAAAATATGATGAAGATAATATTATTTTTGAAGATACTGTGCATCTAGCTATCGCGCTATTTTCATTGGAGAGGAAACCCTGGCAGAAGTCAATAAAATAATTAAACATAAGCCTATGCAAGGTTCCAAAAATACTTATTTTAGGAATAATTATAATAACGTTAATAAATTCAATAATTGTAGTGCTAACAAATTCAACTATAATAATTATAAATCAAGTTTTAAGCCTAATTTCAGCGTAATATGCTTTAGGTGCGGAAAAGCAAACCACATAGAGAAAGAGTGTAGAACGCATGCTATATAAATGATTTTACAACGGACACCTCGCCTGTTTTTTGCTAATAAAGCTACAATCGATGCGAAGATAAATTGGCTGCAGTACTAAGGAATTTGATACTGGCATGGCGTGTAGTGTGATAGATGAGGTTACATGGAGTCGCATAGGCAAACCCCATTATCATCGGCTTATAAACTAGTAGGAAACCATATCAAGATCGAGATATTGGGTAAATGTTTAGTGGAAGTCGAAGTAAAGAATATTTTAAAATTTTTACCTATTTGGGTAGTTAAGGGTGAGAATTCCCTTCTTTTTGGAATGCCCATTCTTAGAGAATTTGATATCAAACTTCCTGAAGAAGTTCGAATTAATAATATAAATATGAAAGATTTCAGTTTAAATACTATTGTTTCAAAATTTCCGCAAGTTTTTAAAAAAAATGAGGATAAATAAAATTACAGGAAGCCGTCATCAAGATACAACCAAACACAGTGTTTGGGCAGGGTCAGGGCTAATATTTTAAAAATTTGGTCCAGACCTGGTGGGGCTTAAATTAAATATGATATCACACAATTTTATGGAATAAATTGATAAATTTTAAAATTCTTTCAAGTAACAAGGCCCCAATAATTTTTATTTTTAGAATACTTTTTTTTTACAATTAAAATATATTAAATTCTTCCATATTTTAATAAATTCGGGCCGAACAGGGAGAACAAAAGTTTTTTGTAAAAAATCTTGGGTAGGGTTTTTCGGGACCAATAAAATAAATTTCGTTCGGGATCGAGCCTGACCGGACAAAGTTCTTATAATAGTTTCGGGCAGGGTTGGGCTTGAAAAATTATGAGCAGATTACTACATTATATTTATAGAAGAATTTGAAAGACAAATTAGTAAAAGTTAATAAATTATAACGACTATAATTCCTTTTTTTTTGCATTTTTATAAAAAAAAAGTGAAACTCAAAATTATTTTTATAAAAAATTAATATAGCCAAAAGCCTACAATAAGTCGACCTAAAAACCTCCAATAAAATTTATGGAAAAAAAACCCACCTAATAGTGCTCCCCATTTTATCAAAGTCTTGGCTAAGCTATGCTCTCTAGGAAAAAAAATTGTCCATAGTCAGAGATTATTTTAGATTTGTTGTTAAAAATATTATAAAAGCTAGTTCGTAGACATTTTCATAAAATATTGTTACTGATTGTTTCTTCAGCAGTTCTAAAAAATGATTAAACATAGTGTTTATTAAATATAAATTTTTATTATTATTAAGTCTAAAACTTAAATTAATATATATATATATAATTATAATATCGGTTAGTTGACCTTAAGGTAGTGTCCATAAAAACAAGATAACATTGCATCCTTTGTAATTTTTCTTAAAGACCAAATATAAAATTAATACTTAATTAAGGTGTTAAAATTATCTTGACGATATCTATGGATTATTTTAAAATAATTAAAAATGAATATTAATTTATTACATTAATAAAATTAATACTATTTTTTACTATGTTAAAAAAATAAATATTATATTTACATTTAAAAAAAAATGTTAAAAATTTATCGGGAATCAAAACTAGGCATAGCTTATTTTTAGATAAATATAAGAAAATATCATGCCAATACGATATATATTTATTATTATTTCTAATAAATATAATATTGATGATTTACTAATTATAGCTGAACAACATACGGTGTCAGCGATAGCTTTACTTTATAGTTTACACTTTGACTAATTTTCTTATCCATCATTATATTAATGTCATTTAATCGAACGCGCCAACCATAAAATGGAGCTAAAGCTTACTCCAATCTATGCACACTTTTAAATGTACTTTAATGCATGAATATGCAATCTAGCAATTACACATCATTAATTATTACATTAAAAAACTCAAACCAAATATAAAATTGCTTATTTTTTAATATAAATAAACATTTTAAATCTATTGTATATTAACTTTTTTTAACAAAGCATTGGGGAAGCAAAGAAAAAAAGGTTCATTTTTTTTTAAAATATCTACGTCAATTCGGCGCGTATTTAATACACTTGTAATTTATTAGTTTCAAAAAAAGGATGATTAAATAGAAATCATTTTGAATGTTGGTCCTATTAATCATTTCTTCCTATTTTTTTTTTACAAAAATCTCAATTTTATTTACTAAATGTGTAATATTAAAATAAAATTGGATACCAATATTTATACCGATTTCTTTGGTGGATCAATTTACCAAATTATAAGGATGTTGATTGGTAGTCAATATTATTATGTAAGCCAGGAGATTTTGCGCATAGATGTTAGAAAGGTTTGGACCTCTATCTCGAATTTTACATATTATTTTGGCTAAAATCTTAATCGGCCGTTTTTAAAAATTAATGCGCAATTTGTTTATTTAGTTATATTAAGGGTATTAAAATTATAAAAATAATTGAATTATAAAATTTAAAAAAACAATACACCTTCCTGATAAATACTATAAGAATAACCAAAATTATGTTAAATCTTAAATCCCCTTTCCGTCAAATTTTGGACAACAAAAAAAATTATTTTATTTTCGGATTTTCTCTTTTTGTTCAATAATTTTAAAGAATTCAATCATTATTTTTCTCAAATAAAGATAAAAGTTTTTAAATGTAAATTTTATAATCTAAATTAAACATAAATTCAAATCTTTTCTTATTTTTTCCCCGCCTAACTTTAGATTATAAATTAATAAATAGAATTATATTATATCTTAAAATTTTCTCCTTTCCTTCATTTAAAAATATTAAAAACTTTAATATTTTTCATTTCCTTCCATAATTTAATCTTTATAATTTCTTTCCATAATTTAATCATCATAAATTGAGAATTCTATTTATTTAAAGGTAAATTATAATCTTATTTCTGTATATCATTTATAATTTTTTATATTATAGTTTACGTTTATTATTAAGAATGCCTTTAATTTATGTTATCAGTGAACGTGGATCAAAACAACTTGTTCATGATCGATATATATTCAGGAAAGAGAGAAAAAAAAAGATAAATCAAAACACAATATGGAAATGTGTAGTATTATGAATTATTGGAAGGTAGACCTGCCGCGGTGCCACACACTAAATGAAGAAGTAATTCTTCATTTAGATAATCATAATCATGTGTTAGATGATAATGAGGTATTAAAAACCGAATGCTTAAATAACATTAAAAACGTGCCGTTGAGGTGACTGTTATATCTCAAAAATTCATAAGCATTGCAATAGCAGGGGGTTCCCAATTGCTTCATGCCTTCCACCTATCGCATCGATTAAAACGGACCATTCAGCAGACTAGATCGCTTATAGGTTCTCCATTACCTAGCCTGACTAACAGTTATGATCTAGATTTACCCGATAGCTATAGAATACAATGTTCGAGGTTGTCATTCCTTCAATATGACAGCATGAATTTGCAACCGGAATTGAATAATTTTGATATTCACCGCCCAAAACCTTACATTGATGGCGAAAAGCAGTACTGGTATGCAGATGGCCATTTAAGGCAACCCCCTTAATTTTTTACCAACTTTGGACCCTCCATATCCTATATCATAGGATTATACGCATAATTTTTACGCTATTACCGAATAAAACCCTGATTACCTTTATAAGGGTCTTGGATTAGAAAAAAAAAATTACAAAATAATCTAAATCCTATATCTGTAATGACGGATTTTGAGCAGGCGTAAATAAATGTCTTTATTCATTCATTTTCACCAATAACTGTAAGAGGGTGTATTTTTCATATGACCCAAACGATTTGGAGACACATACAAAGTGATAGAGAGTTATTAGTACATTATTTAAATAGACATGCAGGAAACTAGTGAATTAGACAGATGCCCTCTCTTGCATTTGTTTCCGTGGATCACGTAGTTGATACCTTTTACAAACGATTTTTGAAAACGGCCCGATTAAAATTTTAGCCGAAAGAATAAGAAATAAGCTTCGAGATTTAGCATATAGAGATCTAAAATTTTGTGTCACCTATGAGCAAAATCTCCTGGCTTACATAACATTATTTTGGCTAAAATCTTAATAGCGCTATTTTTTAAAAATCGAGGGCCGTTTAACAACACCGGCAACACTGAATAAAATGCGATAAGTAAGAATATATAAATTTTATTTAAATAAATTAAACAAATTCAATACACGGATATCTAAGGAGACTCACATACACGCGAAAGAGTATTTAAATAATACGATAAAAGTATATTTTTATATATATATAAAAATAAAAAATTCGATTGATTATAAATGATTAAATGCGACCGGTAATCTAGTAAAAGGCGTTAACATTTAGGGCTTTCGTTCCCCTTTTCTTCGCGCATCATAATAATATCGTTACGATCTTTGCAAACTTTCCTTCTAATGTATCTCCAAAATTTGAAACGAAAAAGGTTAGGCATGCAAATTAAGGGCTTCACGTGTTTGTCATATTTATGTTTTACGTTGTCAGGAGTAAAATGAGAAATAATTGAACCCCCTTCCTTGAGATGTAACTTTGTCAACAATATTTTTTTGGGAATACCTTTTATTTTTATTAATTTTATAAAATATAACATAATAATAGTTGCCAAAAGAATAAGGCTAAAAATTGAAATGTTTATAAGATCACATAATTGTAACTGTGAGCCCCTCTGTTGAAAAAATTAAATTGAGAGAAGGCTTAATGATAGTGGAGAGCTTCACTTAAAATCTATTAACGCCTTGTCATAGAAATTACGCAGCTTATCTTTCTGTAGAATTAAACTCAGAAGTTAAAACATAAGTCATCGATGCCTCCCCTTCAAAAAAAAACACCAATTTTAAATGTGATGAATAAGAGACCTATAATCAATGTTGGAACCTGTCCCAAATAATATGTAGCTCGGACGGGGTTTTTTAAACCTTCCGAAAGGGCTAGAAATTCCAAAATTTTGATTTATTTTTAATTTTGCACTTGTATTTTATAAATTAATGGAAAGGGAATTAAAAAATTGTTTAATCTGAATTGGCCTGAGTTTAATAAACTGTTGTATGATGTCTAAGGAAGGACATGAATTATCATTAGCCAAAAACCTAATTACACCTATACAGTTGGACACCTCTACTGATGAATTTTAGTAATATTTTCATACAAGGTGTGGTTAAGGGTAGCCAGATATGGAATAATAGGGTTAATATCTAATAAAAAAAAATTCATAATATGAATTGGTCGAACTTCAATAAACTGTTATATAATGTCTAAGGAAGGACATAAATTATCATTAGCCGGAATCCCAATTAAATCTATACAGTTGGCACCCCTCTACTGATGAATTTTATTAATATTTTCATATATTGGATATTCTAAAAAACTTATAATTATGTATTTACCGATTGTTATGTTTATTTTTTTACTGTATCATGTGCCTTTTCGAAAAAAAGAAGAAGCCTATACTTAAATGAATGAAGCCTTCAAATATATACTATTAGATTTTTTTTGAGCAACATTATACCGGCCCGGGTTCTTATAAATTATTTTTAGGACCCGGCATGAAATGTTGAAGTATCTAATATTTTAAGGCCATGCCCGAATTTTACATTATATGGCAGCCAGGTCTCTGGGATAAACTTTCTAATCCAAAACGTTTCGATATTAATTGGAGAAGATCAAACTGGCTGTTTATAGATACCGATCCAAACCTTCAAAAAAATTTCACGTTATACAGGTGAATGGTGATATATCTTATTTTTTTTAAAAAAGTGAAAGTTAACCAGTGAGTATGTATTGCAAGGATATGGAGATCGGATCTGGACAATATTGCAACGGCATAGAGTAAAAATTGGAAAATTCATTGCAGGATTCAGGGTTAGGCGTGCTAAAGTTGAGTAGATTTAGAACGGCCGATGTCTCGATGTAAGTTAACGCGTTTAGAGATTTGTGTAAATTTGATGCCTGGATTAATAAATTAAGATTATAATTATAAATAATTTATTTTTAAGAAAAAATGAAAGTGACATCGATTAAAATAGAACCGAAGGAAAGAAAGTAAGCAATATGCATTTGAAAAAAGGTCACTTATTCAATTAAAAAAATTGTCGACATCGATCAGGATCAAAAAATAATAATTCCACCCAGCAAAAAAAATATTAATAAAAATCCAAACCAATTCTTAAAGTTGCAGCCAAAATATAAATTTTATGATAATATGATAGGCAGGAAATTGGTCCCAGGAAAATTGAACATTAAGGGGTGGCAGGAAGTAAGCCATAACAAAATGGGCGAACGGAAGATAATAACAGCTCTAATTTACTCGTATTTTAAAAGTCACTTTTAATCTATACTAAAAAATAATATATTTTATTAATTACCTGAGAATAGGTAACAGTTTTGTCCTTAAGGCTAGGATCGTGTCTCAAATCAGATTTGCAACCGATGAGAATTAAAGGTATACGAGGGCAATAGGAGTTAATTTCTGGGATCCACTGATTACAATAACAAATTCAAATATATATAAATATATATTTGAAGAAAAAAAACAAGTATAATCGAAAGGTCTGAAAATATCATTAATTTCAAATATACCTAAACAGAACTATTCGTTATTCGATCCAATTCGTGTTTTACGAATACATAAAACTATTGAAATCGAATACGAATAAAAGAAAATCTACTATTTTTTATCTTATCATTCGGAATTATTCGTTCAAATATTTAAATAGTAAGCTTATCTTCAGCCCTAGCGATATAAAATCAAAATCGATAAATTCTCAAAATTGCTTGCGAACACTCTTAGTTGAATCACTCAGCAAAACATCTCAAACGATCCTAAGCGCTCAAGCTAACCCGAATCTTAACAAGCTCAAAGAAGATTTTTTTTACAAATGACATTTTTCATTTTGCTCAAAAATTTTTTATTACCAAAAAATCTTCACATGATCTTCAAAAGAGCAAGGATCTTTGAAGATTTTTAGAAAATGGTAAACTCTGGTAAAAATTTATACTATATCGCTTAAAAAAAATTAAAACGTTTTCCCCTTAATGGCTCAAACCTAAAAAATAATATTTAGGCCATGTCCTAGGTCGGTTTAATTAGGATATTTATTTGCAAATTAGTATAGGTTAAAGTTTCTGAATAAGGATACCCTATTGAGGTTTGGTGGCATTGTTATCTTATTTTTTCTCGTTTTTCTGTTTATGTGTTTTTTTTGTAAATTTTTTTTTGCTTTTTTGCCTATCTAGTATTAAGCTGACTTAGGACACGGGTTTAAAGCTAAGAATTATAACTGAATTTTAGGAATTTTTTTTTTTAAATCTATGATTTTCTAAATGATTCATTTTTAATCTGAGCAATTTCCATTTTGTATTTGGGCAATTATTATTTATTTTGGTAATTAAGATTTTTTTTTATCTGATGATTCAATATTTTTTTTCTGAGCGTGTAAGGGATTTTTTTTTTCACTGCATAATTTCAATTTTAATTCTGAGAGATTAAAAATAGGGAACCAAAAATATATGAAATTAATTTATATATAAAATTTTAAAAATAATTATTTATGATTTATAAAAGAAAGGTATTGTCTTTGTTTGGATCTGAAAAAAAGGGAATTGCCTTTTTAAAAAAGATTACTTTCCAATGTATTTCTTTTTTTTTTTGACTCAACAAGAATGCGTAGATTTATAATATCTTAAGTATGATAATTTATCATGGTATACAAGAACAAAGGCAAAAACATTTTATATAATATTATCTAAAATATAAACGAAAGGCTAAATCCTTTAAAAATAAAGATTAAATACAAATAATTTACCAGTTTACCAGTTTATAAGTTATTTATATTTGTAGGGATGATGAATCAAACAAATAACCAATCAATTTTTTTTAAAAGCTTTTTAGACTCTTGGAAAGGTGCGGAAGTAAGAACTTCGTTTTGCACGAGTAAATTTGTTATTTATTGGTTATTGATACTAGTTGTTAAACGGCTCGATTTGAGCCGATTTATAAAACGGCTAACTCAACATAATAGCCAGGAAAATATTGCCTAAGTGTCTAGATTTTGCCAATAGATGCTCAATACTATGTGCTAAATATGAGCAAATTTTTTAGGCTTGCATAATATTTTTCTGGATAAAATATTGAGTTAGCCGTTTTTATAAATCGGCTCAAATTGAGCTGTTTAACAAAACTAATTGATACCCCTTCCCGTTTTCGCAAAACATTCAGAAATGTTGTAATGTTTAATACGGAAAAAAAATTGGAAAGCCGCTTAGCGACACTCTGCTACCGCCAAAACGTTCAAATCTTTATTTTTAAAAATACATATCTTTTTCTTCCTTTCTTTCTATTGTTGCAAAATTTGTTTTATAGACTAATTGAATAAAACTATATTATTTAATGTTTAATTAAAAATTATGAAGAGACCTGCAGAGGTACCAAATGCAAGGCCTGGCCAGGTTTTATTTAAAAAAAATTTCGGCCCTGACTGGGTTTTATATTTTAAGGACCGGCCCAGATTTTATAATAAATATATTTACCTTTATATTTAATTTTTATAGCTAATAATGACAATTTAAAATATTCGGCCTGGTCCGGGTATATTTAAAGAAAATTTAAATATGCCCGGTAAAAGTAACCGAGCCAGGCTCGCAAATGCAATCTATTTTTTTTCTAAAATAAAGTTATCAACTAAATAACATTATAAACAAACAAATTATATTTAAAAAATAAATTCATTAGAATAAAAAGCTTTCTTTAATAAAAAACACTTAAATTTTTTCGTTTTTTATACTAAGTACTCCATAAAATAAAAATTTCTTAAGGAAGCTAGTTATATTACCTACAATAAATAATCAGGTTTTAATTTTTTAAAAAAAAAGAAAGTCAGATGTTTTAACAATTAAATCAAATACACAAAAAAATAATTAGCTTTTACAGACCATTCCACTTCACCGTGCAAAAAAAGGATCAAATCTTAAATAATATTTTATTCTCTTAATTTCTTTCCCACTCTTTTTATTTTATCAAATTTTTTATATAATATTATATTTAAAAATAATAATTCCATTATTAGAAAGGAAAAAAAAATGAAAATAAACATAATTATCTAATTCTCACGCGAAATATAAATTTTAACCATAAGGTATAAATAGTTTATAAATATTACAATAGGAGTTAAATAATAGTTCATAACAAGGTTTTTTTTCATTAACATTTATCTCTATCATTATATTACTTAGACAAAAGGTGTGGTGGTGGGAGTTGAATAATGTCGCCGCGTGCGTTTATAATATTTTATTTATAATAGAATATTATACACACAAAAATAAGGATCAAATGTCACTGACTCAAATGTGGAATGATGGGAGCGCGTATATTTTAAATTAATAAAGATTGTGAATGAAAATGGAACGATAAGCAGAGCTTGAAATCGGTGTACCATTCCAAAATGAATTAATCTCTCGCGGTTCTTCTAAAATAGAATTATTTTTGGAACGGGCGTTGCATTTATAGTAAGCGAGATTTTGCTCAAGCTATAAATTAAAAGTTAGTGAAATCACAGGTTGATTCGTAAGGAGCTAGTGTTGCTAAAAAGCCCCCTTCCCCCCCCCCCCCCGATTAAAATTTTAACGAAAATAAATTATGTAAGTCTGGAAATCTTTGCTCATAGATGGCAGAAAGTTTTGGACATCTGATTGTCAAATCCCGAGTCTTGCAACAAAATTAGTCGCAGCTACAATACTTTTTGAAATACACATAAATTGCGATTTCATCATTTAGCTCCGAATTTAGGTATTACACCTATTATTGGCTTGCTTTTGTAAATTAAGCAGCGATTAATTTCGCATCGCCTTAGCAAATCGCGTCTACTATAAATGCTATCAATTAAGAAAATCGCGTTAAAAATTGTATGGGGGTGCTATTGTAAGTCATATTATGTATGACGAGGTTGAAGAAATTTTTAGAACTGTGATTTATTGAATCAATAAAATTAGTGTAAATTGTATGAGGATATTATTTTCTAAAATATATAATAATTAGATCTGCGCGTTGACGATCTATCGGCGGCCGACGCCAGTTTTAAAAATCTAATCGGCGGCAGGTGGTGAACTGCATTTCAGCCGCTATCAACATAGACGGATTAAATTGGCGCACCGGTATAAATTTTTTATAATATATATTTATTAAATTTTTTTGTAAGAAATAAAAATATAATATATACTACCGAAATATGGGCATATTTTTTGATCAATTATGAAGGCTAACGTCAAAATTGCCTACAATTCAGGAATATATTTCCAGAATAACCAGATTTTTAAAATTTTAAAAAATGATATAAAGTTGATAAAATAAAACATAGCCGGAAAAAAACTAATTCAATTATTTTACTAATATTTTTAATTTAAAAAAAAAACAATAAATAAATAGTTTTTTGGATTTTATTAAAACTTTTATAAATTCTTCTTTCCCCCCCCCCCCCTTAAATTTAAGAGTTTTATTTGATTAATTCTGTAATTATTTTTATAATAGTTTTAAAGAAATTCTTTAATTCTAATTTAATTTTCTAGTAATATTAGCGAGCCAAATGATATAATTTTAAAATATATGGGCATGATCAGGACTTAAAAAATAACAGTTTACAAAACACGGGCCAAGCCTAAAAATAATTATTCTTTAAAATTATTAAAGATGATTAAAATTTTAAATATCCGGGCTGGGCTCAAAAATGAAAATAAACTAAATCCTCAAGACCAAAAATCCTTTTTTAAAAAAAATAGGTGCGGGGGCTTGGAAATGGGAAAAGGCTTAAAGGTTTTGCTAAGGCTAAAATAAAATATTACGGCGCGTTGTCCTGATTCGTCTTATTTGGACGAGGTAAATTTCTTTCCTTTTATGAAAACGGTTAAACAGAAGATTGCTTAGAAATAAGACAAGCCAGGACACGGCCTACTCTCTATTTAGATATTTGTTTTATGAAAACGGTTAAACAGAAGATTGCTTATAAATAAGACACGCCAGGACACGGCCTACTCTCTTTTTAGATATTTGTAAATCTAAATTTAAAATAAAATATGCATCATTTTTCGATTTTTTAAACTTTAGTACGAAGAGATTCAAGGGATTGAGGTGATACGACCGAAAAACACAACATGACTAAATCTGTATCGGCGTAAGCCAGGGGTCTGATAGAATCGCAATCAGCCGAGCCTAATATTTTATTTTTTTTATATAATAATGTTATATACATTATATGTGCTTTAAGCGAACAAATTGGAAAAGTTATAATCTAAAGATCTGAATATGGGGTCGGGCATGACCCAAATTCAAAAAAAAAATGAGAAGCCATTATGATATTAGGATACTCGAATGAAAACCTGAAGCTTACACACGTTACCTAGGCCAATAAATAGCCATTTTATTTAAAATTTTGGTTTAAAATATAAAGTATTTTATTTGTTTATTTTTTCTCCCCCAAAACCAAATCTGTATTTCAATTGTGAGTGAAATCTAATTAGGTAAAAAAAAATCCCCCCCCCCCTCCATAGATATAATATGTGCTAGGCTTACGTTATCATTTTTTTTACAATTAAATTAGTTCCTGTATTATATACACGTCAAAATTTTTTTATTTTTCGGTATAATGGCTATTTATCAACGACAGAGGTTATCTTAAAGATAATTGCAATTTTTGAAAAAAAAATTGGGACCAGGAGTTTTAAAAAAAAATGTATAAAATGATGTTTTCGCCTTTTTTTCGGGATCAGGATTAGAACAAATGAAAGTAATTGAACAAATGAATTAGTAATTTTTGTTTTATTTATTTTATTCAAGTATTTAGAAAACGGGCTCGGTTCTAAATGGAATTCTCAGGGCTCCAACAAGAGCTAGTCAAACATGGACGTCCATACGTTCCCAGGTGGAAAAATAATTTGCAAATCGTGTATCTCCAATGCTTTCGCTTGAATGTGAACTTCATGCAATTTTGATTTGTTAAAGGGTCAATTTCGCCAATTTTAAAATTAAGGTTTTTATTATAACCTTTCAGCCATTTATAAACCAAATCTCTAGGCTTGCGTAATATTTTTTGGCTAAAATATTGGGTAAGCCGTTTTTTAAAATTGAGTAATTTAGCAATAGTATGATACTGGTGGAATTATTACTAGAAATATAAACGCAAAAGGATTTTACAGAATATTTTTTTTATATAAAATAAAAAATAATTGAACAGTTTGTTTGACTTATATGATACTATTACATAGCACACTAAGTGATTTTCCAAAAAATATATATACCACCTAGAATAAAGTTTCTGGGGGCCTTTGCTAAAAGTATTTAGTGTATTAAAAATGGAATTATTTATAAAGGGAAGGGGATGATGGGAAATTCTAAATAAGATTTTCAAATTATAATTAAAATAATAGGAATTTTTTATAAACAATGTTATTACATTTTTTTTTTAAAAAAAAGATATTTATATTTAAAAAATTAGCATCACGCATATTTTAATAAACAGTTATGAATCTTTCTCTTTCTTTATTTTAAAATAATTCTAAATGAAATGAATTTAATTTTTTTTAGTAAGTTAAGTATATTACATTTATGCATAAAAATTATATTGAATATCGTAACTAAATAATAGAAAACATGGCGTGCTTGTCATGAGTGAGGAAGAAGGTAAAGGGTATATTTATCAATTATTTTTATTTAAAAAAGATATCCTGATTCTCATCATTTACAGTCTTAATAATAAGTTATACATTTTTATTTTATGTAATACCTTACATGAACAGATTTGATCATGTAAAATAAACTTTAAAAAAAAATTAAATAATAGTTTAAAAACTTTTTAATTGAAAGGAAGAGGAGGATAACGAGGGAAGAAATATAAAAAGCGCAAATTTTAAAAAATCATTTGATTTATCTTGGTAAAGTTTGCGGTGAAGGACATAAAAATATAGCATATTTTGTATACGCCGCAGCGAATTCGCGCTAACGCGAATGCAGGACTCTTCTTCAGGGTTCGGTAACCGGAACATCCTCTAGAAAGATTTACAGGAAATGGTTAACTCCTTTTAAAACTCTAAAAATGAATAAGGCAGGCCTTTTTTAGTTTCTCAACGCGTTTAGGTTAACATATAATTGGTGCTTTCAATTAACTAGACGGAAAATCATATAAAGAACCTTTTAATAATTCATATGCTGCATGAAAATTTCTCATAAAATATAAATAACAAGATATTGCAATAAGATTATTTAACCCTTCTCAGGGGCAAAAAAAAAATTTGCCGATAAATCTTTGATTTTATTATATATTTTAATGGGTATCATAATCACCCACCCCCCTTACCCGCATCAGGAGGCGTCAAGCAAATAAACATTTATTTAATCTGATTTTAATAATCGAAATTAATTTGTCGCTTCTTTACATTTTAAAATTCATAAAGACTCGTCTTTTGTCTTTTTAAAATTCAAAATATCTGTTCATTTTTAGATTTTTTAAAAAAAGTGGGCATATAAGAACAATCTAGAAACTAATTTAAAAGATATTATCACATTATGTCAAAATCTATCATTAAAAAAAAAAAATGGTGTCCAGGCCGCTATTCTGACTAGAATTCAGAATCAAGAACAAAAATTGAGAGGCATAAATGCTCTATAAGGATTAGTTTTTGTCTCAAAAATAATATAACTTTATGTAGTTACATTTTGCATATATAGGTTATTATATAATTTTTTAATAATTAGGTGGTTTTCATAAAAAGTGCTCAGCTCATTAAGGTTAATTGTAATATTTTGCAAGTGGTATCAAATTGATATCATGCCCCCCCCCCAAAAGGTTTAAAATGACAAAAAAAAATTCAAATAATGGTTGGGCGAAACCTATCTGCTATATATGATCAAATATCTAGGTTTACACAAAATTATTTTAGCCAAAATCTTAATCGTGTCGTTTTAAAGCTTTTCAGCCCTATCCAGGACATTACGGAGGAGGGAAACCAATATTAAGAGTATTTTCCACCAATAATTTTATAGCAGGACTTTTGAGTTCATTTACTAAAGAACATTGTAAGGATTATATTTGGGGAATTTCATTTAAAGAAACGATTAAAATTATTTATTTTCCCTTGAAAATTTTGAATTAATCACTATTTAAAATAATCATTTTCCTTTTAAATGTTTGTTTATAGTGACATATTATATAGACATTAGTAAGAGGAGCAGAGGAAGGCGTATGATATATAGGTAAAAAATTTTAATTATAAAAAAATACAAATTTCTGAATGAGGGGGGGGGGAGGGGTTACACTCACTACGCCTTGAAACGATAATATTTTTATGAATCAAAATTACAATTGGCGTTTCTTAATTTGTTTCTTCAAAAAAGTAGATTTTTTCTTTCCCGAAGGAATACTTTGAAAGCCAGCCAACCAATTTCTCGCAAAATATAAAGAGGAATTATAACTAAAAAAATATAAAAGTTATTAATATTTAAATATAATTATTTAAAAGAAGGCCGGACAATTTTTTTTTCCTATTAAGCATAATGCATTTGAAGGCGTCGTTGAATGCAAATCAGCTGGATCCGCCATCTTGGCAATTCATATAATAATTATTCTCATGTTAAAAACTACTATTAAATCGATAGCTTGCTTCCTTATTATCTCGATGATCAGGCAATACCTTAATAAAGTTTGCGTCATACTTAGGAATAGATTGGCCTCTCGTTTAAAAATTTTAATAATGATACGGGTAACCAAAATGGCGTCCCCAGCTGTTTTATTGATGTACACTTTTAATGAATGCATCGTCAGTCTAGGTATTATTATATGTCAGTGAATTTAAGGGGGTAAAAAAAAAACTTCATAATCAGAAAAATTTCATGAAATTGGTTAGTAATTAATTATAGATGTCATTATATTTCGAGAATTTGATGTATCGTCAGCGTCATTTTATTCTTATAGGATTTTCCAATTTAAAGCAACTTCGATCAATTTTACAGGTGAACGATTTTAATATAAAAAACACCATGCCATCTGGCTAAAAAATAATTATCTATTTTATTACCATTTTAAAAGAATATAATTCGAAATAATTTCTTTATCGGGAATGGGGGGGGGGGCTGGTGTAAAGGAGGGTAGAAAAACTCAAGGCTTCTTGATCCTAACAATTTTGTTATGCCAACATTTCGCGAAAAACGAAGTGCAAACATGTTGGTAGCGTTGTAACATAGTTCATTTCTACGAAAAAGCATAATTCCGTATAAAAAAAATTATTATAGATCAGGAGAATACGGACACATTTTTAAAAATACGTTTGAATATAAATCTTCCCGTAACGATGGTTAGGGTTGCAAGGCTCTTGGGAAATTATTATATTAGACCTTTTTGAACACTTGCTATAAATAGCAACTTGCCCTCTCCCAAATTACCACCTCTAAGGCAAATATTTCAATCCATATACCTAAATTGTTAAGTTTATATAATTATGACTATCAAAAATAGGAATTCAATTACTGTATTTCGTATTGAATTTGATAATTTGAATCAAATAATGGTATAATTCATATTAGAGATTTGCTCCACGGCCAAATACCCAGAACCGATATTATTTTTAAAATAAACCCATCCCAGACCCGAGCCAATTTGGACCCCAGGAGGGTCGGACCGGGATATACAGATCTCTAATTCGTATATTCGAACAAATAATCCCTAATTTGCATTCATCGAATATTCGATTTGATTTGAAAAATTAAATTTTTTTTTAAAATTCAAAGGAAGATTATGAGGAGATAAGAGTATAAAAATAAAAAGTTCCACAAGGAACATGATGAAGACCTAAGAATAATTACCAATATATGTCAATAATTTTAATTGTTGCGAATAATTTCAAATATATACGAGTAATCAACTATTATTTTTATTTATTCGTATTTTTGAATCGAATAATTCGATTAAAGTATAATCATTATGAGTATATAAGTAATATACAAGTAGCTTGAAAGACGGCTATGATAAAATGTTTCGATCTAGGTTTTTTCCTACACAACGAAGTATACCTGAAAAACCCCTATCCGTCGATAAATAATGCAGAAGAAATCCTGAAATTCCTATTTACCATTCTCATAGAATTTTTCATCCTAAAAACACTTTTTTAAAAAAAAAATTAAATAATTCTTAATATCGTATCGTATACACAACTAATTCCCAT